ACTATAACTTGGTGGAGTTTCTACCCATCTATTTCCTGTACAAAGACATCTGGGTTTTTAAGGAAGGTATTTCTTCTACCGTAAGTCAATTAGGAAGTTAATTGTTCTTTTCAGTGTTTGGATTATTGTAATGCACATTTTGTAATGCACACTGGTTGCCTTTGAAGAGCATTCAGAAATCCCTGTTGGCACAAAGAGCTGGAGCCCGATTATGGGGATTCCCTTGTTACAATAGCTCCATTACTTACCTGTCTGTTTGTGGGTGCAGTTCAAAGTCCTATTATGACATAAATCCAGACTAAGGGCTGATGCAGACCGGCCAAAAGGGCTGGCCTGTGGGTGGAGTTGGGGCAGGACAGCTGCACATCAGCTGCCCCGACTCTGCCCTGATTCTGCCCTGAAATCGCGCACCTGTCCGCATGGTACGCAGCATCAGGGTGGCCTCTTGGTGCAGTGCCCGCACACATTGCGTCAAAAGGGTGCAAAAGAGCCGCAGTGGTGGCTCAAAAAAGTGGCCTTTTGTCATCCCAAAAAGGAGTGGCATTTTGCTGCTCTTTTTAGGGTGGCAAAAGGAGGATTGGGGCCGCAGTGTGTGGTTGCTGCAGCCCCAATCCGCTGCTCTCAGGGGCAGCCCAGAGCTGCCCCAAATGGGTTGTCTGCATCATCCCTAATAAAAGATTCTTATTTGAGCCTGTCTGGGCCCTGAGACCTTTGGAAGAAAACCTTCTTTCAGTCCCATCACCTTCACAAACATGTCTGGTGGTGATCTAAGAAAAAGCCTTCTTGGTAGCTACTCCTAAGGGAGGTTAAAAAAAAAATCCCAACAGGCTTTGAGAACAGAATGTTGTCCAAAAAGGGTTTTAAAAGGCTGCTGTTTTTCTGATCAAGTCTACTTTTTATTATTTTAATTGTATGTTCTAAATAAGGTTTGATGTTATTGACAATTTAATGACATTTTGATGTTAAGCTTGTGTATGTTTTTGCTATATTAATTTGTTTTAATTTGGAAGTTGCCCTGTGTTAGTTACACTTTGTGGAGAAGGTGGAATTTAATAAATATGTTTATTTCCAGTCTAAGAGCTATGTTGGTTTGTTGCAAGTTTAAAAAACAGCAGTAACAAGGACGCCTGTGATATTTGTAATACTTTTATTGGCCCACTATACTTGCAAGCTTTCAATGCGCCACTGGCTTCTTCATCAGGCAAGATGTTACAAACAAAACAGGAGAAAATTGGAGATGTTAGTCAGATGCCTGCATTTTGTTTTTCCTGTCCTTAGTTAAGATGGTATGGGGAGGATATCTTTTGCAGGCTGGCTCCTCCTCCTTCTGGCCATGTGACAATTAGGAGATTTTGAAAGTCCAGGAAATTTAAAGTCTGTTTGCATCACAACAAGGACTCCTCTCTTGCAAACCAGTATGTCTCCATTCCTGTAGGCAGAGGACAATGGATTTCTCAAGGATCCTCCATGTTTTTACATCAGAAAGCTTGCAATAAATATATTGGGCATTTCGGTTGGCTAATAAAGGTATCACTGTTTGGTGGATTTTTGTTTGAATAAACATACAATCAATCAATTGCCTTTATTGCAGTTAACAAACCATAGGCAGAATAAGAGTAAAAGTCAAGAGATAAAAACAACACATAAAAATACATTATTACAGAAAGTCCTATCTGGTACAAAAGTTACCAACTCATAAAAAGAAATAGATAATTAAGTTCCTTATTAAATAATACCAACAGGTTTGAAAATTGTTACATATAATACCACCAGAACTATTAATTCATCACTTTTCAATCAGGCAAACAAACATTTGATTTATAACAGTTTAAAATAAAGATCTCACATCAAGAATCTAAACTATCCCATTTCTTCATAAGTGTTTTAACCAAGGGGGACTTTACTCTTAACATTTATGGCCCTTGGCTTTGCGGGTTTTAATAGCAGAGAAGATAAACTTTGCAACTTTCTCAGTAACCTTTCTTTCCTTATCTGCTAATAGGACCTTCAGGTACCTGAATGAACATACCAGATTCCAGTCATTAAAATGTGCCATTGATTTAAATGGCTCATGTTATGCTGCCCTCTTGTGGCTGGATTAATTAATGCAATCTTGGTTTTATTAATTTTTGTAAACAGTAGAAAAGTAATTCAATAGATTTTACAACCTCCTATTTCTTTTTTTATAGATGGAAGAAGTACACATGTGCACATATATCTCTGTACATTTATATAGACATTATATACAGAGCCACACACATTGATGGGCATTTAATTAGTATTCTATTGCTTTAAAAACATTTTGATTTGCGAAATGGATTGTCTATAAACAATCTGAAGTAACACTGTTAGTGATGAATTTAGTGGTCTGTCATTGAAATGCAAGGCAAATTTCATGGCCAAAGAATGAACCACCAGTGAAGCCTATTTAAACCTAATCCATTTGATACCATCATAGTCCTGTGACAGATACATAAGTTAGCAGGATTGGGCCTGGTTAGCATTTGGATGAACACCATCAGGGAATGCCAGGGATCTCATGGTGAAGGTAAGAAAAAATCCTGCCTGAAACTCTGAAGAGCATTGCTGCCAATCACAGTTGACAGTATGGAGCCAGCCAGACCAATGGTCTGACTTGATATAAGTCAGCTTTCAACTTTTTACTTCTGCCAACATTAGAGACCGAATCAATTCAATCTTTATGAAGAAAAAAAGAACAAACATTCACCACACTGTACTATCACTGAATTCCTCCCTCTCATATTATAAGATGGCATTGCACATTGGGAAAAAAGTTTTAATTTTTTTTGTTTTTTTTACTGCAACATACATTTCATCTCATGATCAGAAGCTCTTCAGATCCTTTGCCAGTGGTCAGTTTAGAGCAGTATCCAAACAAAAGAGTCTCTGTGTTCTGAAGGAACACAAGACTACCCCACCAATAAATCAAACAGAGGAAAACAACTGGGTTGCACTTTCAGGCTTCACAAAATATAAATCACATTTGGACTTCATTTCACTGACAAAAATCCAGGCCCAACACAAACAAAAGCAACTTGATGGCCAACAAATTCAGACAATATTTTAACCAATTCAAATAATTGGTTTTCAAATAATACTTAATAATATGGAATTCAAATAATACTTGATATATAACCAGCAAATGATCAGAGGCTCCCCCCCCCCATAGTGAACCATTCTACCCTAATCTAACACAATACAGGTTGCCATGGAAAAGTTATGCTATGTCATTAATGCGATTTTGCAAGGACCATACATTTTGCCTGCCATTGTATTAGTGCATTTTGATTTGTATAGCATAGATACATAGGGGATACTACTGTGTGGTATTTACTGGCATGTTCCAGCAAGAAAAAAAAATCAATAATTATAAAAACACCAATAGAAGAACCTCTCATGTACAAAAGAGTAGGCATTGTAGAGTGTGCTAGAAAAGGCCTGTGCAACATAGAGCCCAGGGGCTGCATATGGCCCGCCAAGGGATTTTGGGCGGCCCACAAAGATATGGAACAACTTCAAGGCTCTTCTACTGCACAGCCTTCTCCTGAGGAGAGGGCCATATGGAGGAGGAGGAAGAAGGGCTGACACTCACCTCACAAGCTTCTCTGTTGTTCTGCTTTTCCCCGAGGAGAAGGCCGGATGGACAAACGCTCTCCCCTCAAGGCTCCTCCACTGTCTGGCTTTCTCCCAAGGAGAAGGCCAGGTGGAGGAGGATGGGTAAATTCTTGCCCTGCAAGCCTCCTTCGCCATCTGTCTTTCTCCCAAGGAAAAGGCCTGGTAGCGGCAAAGGTGGAGGAAGACAGGTGAACACTTACCCTGCAAGGCTTGTCTGCTGCTTGGCTTTCTCCTGAGGAGGAGGAGGAGGATGGGCAAACGCTCACCCTGCAAGGCTTCTCCTCCATCTGACTTTCTCATGAGGGCAGCGGAGGAGGAAAAAGAGTAAACACTTGCCCCATATGGCTTCTCTGTTGCTTGGCCTTCTCCAGAGAAGAAGTCCAGATGAAGAGAAGGATGGGCAAAGTTTCTTCACCACTTGGCTTTCTCCTTAGGAGAGGGCCATGCAAAGGAGGAGAAGGATGGAATTAATATTAATAATAATATAATAAAAAATAGTTAATAATAACTAAAACCATTCTGCAACCCGAAGTAGTTTAGCCTATTTTAATTTTGGCCCCTTCCTACTGCCAAGTTGTACAGGTCTGTGCTAGATGCCTCTATTGTTCATCAAACCATATTTTATGTAGCAATGGTATTTAAAATATCACACTACCGAGGGAAGATAAGTGAATGAAAGAAAGAGAATGCACCTTCTCAAGAACAGCATTTTGCAACTCAGGTACACACTAATTTGGACATAGTGTCTGCTTAGAGGAAGGCCTGAAGACAACACACGAATAAACAATGTGCTGTTCAAAGGATTGTCATTTGAAAACCTTTTATTTATAATGGTACTGATATAGTGAATAAATGAGGTAGCATGAGAAGGGCTTTAGTTGTTCTGCTACACATCCAATCTGAAAGAATTGGAATAAAGGCAACTGTGCATTTTCTGATATTAATAATACTTCTTCATATGTAAGTATATGGTTTTCTTTAAACCATATATCTGCTTGTGACAGCAGACGAGTTCTGTAGAACTAAGATGCTAATAGTTCTACATAATTCTTCATTTGCAATTCTTCATTAGCAGTAATAGATGTCAGTGGAGAAAAACCAGGGGTTGAGACTGCAGCAAACTTATTCCAAACTTTGAGAACAGATTTTGTAGGAGATAATATGCATTTTTGGTTTGTACCAAATCAGTTCCCATAAATGTTTCCCATATATATGTTGTTCCACTATGCCAAGGTTATTTGGATTGTTGTTGCTGCTGCTGCTTCTGTTGTGTGCCTTCAAGTCATTTCTGACTTATGGCAACCCTAAGGTGAACCTATCAGGGTTTTCTCTAGGGCTGAGAGGATGTGACTTGTAGATTTCCATGGCCAAGCAGGGAATCGAACCCTGGTCTGCAGAATCACAGTCCCTTGCTCAAACCACTACACCACTCTCATTTGGATTATATCATTCTTTAATTTGAGTTATTTTTAATGCTTGAAAAGAAGTAAAGTATACTTGGAACGTCTAACCTGCCTTTTGTTATTTTCTGATAAAGGTTTAAATTAGACGTTCTAGGAGGCTTATTATCCCATATAAATTTCATCATTTTCTGCTGGCAAATTTTCATCGGGCAATTTTGAATTGTAAAAGTATTGTCATGAACAGAAAAAATTACTCTTGGTAGAATCACCATATTTACAGCTGCTATTCTTCCCAGCGAAGATAGTGGGTATTTTCCCCAGTTGCTCAGATGTTTCTCCATTTGTTATGTTAATGTTTTTGTTTGTGTGCCTTGAAGTCATTTCTGATTTATGGCAATTCCAAGGCATGATTTATGGCAACCCTAAGGCATAATATCATAGAGTTTTCTTGGCATGATTTGTTCAGAGGGGGTTTGCCTTTGCCTTCCCCTGGGACTGAAAGAATATGACTTGCCTAATGTTACCCACTGGGCTTCCATGGCTGAGTGGGGATTCAAACCCTGGTCTCCAAAGTCATAGTCCTATACTCAAACCATTGCACTACACTGGCTCTTTCTATCCCATTTCTTTTTTCTTTTTCATAAAGAGATCTTCATAACTCTGTTTATGTTTATTCCAAAAAAATCTGATTTTAAGATATTAATCTTGTAACCTCAAGCATTATACAAGACATGGGGTAACTTAAAAGTTTCTTCTATGAAATGTTCTGGCTTAGTTTAAAGAGCATTATCAGCATACAATATCTTGGCTGCTTCATCACCCATATCTAATTTCTTTGATACAGTTGCCCCTCCACAGGTGTGACTTTGACTTTTGCAGATGTGATTATTCACAGATTTAATTAATATGTTCTCTCTAGGAATGTCTAGGTTCCCCAGCATGACTCTGCTGGAAGTTGACCATAGAATCACACTGGAAGACCTAGAGATTCTTAAAGAAAACACTTCTCTAGGTATATGTAGGTCTTCCAGCATGATCCTATGATCAACTTCTGAAAGACCTAGAGAGAGTCTCAGGTTAAAAAAAACAGTGTGTGTGTGTGTGTTTTTTTTTTATCTGAGGGTTTCCTACTTTCATGGGGATCCTGAACCTCTAACCCCAGTGAATGTATTTATATTAGATCTAATAAGAATAACCAGAGATTATTTTAAAAAATCCAAATAAACTTGATGTTTAAGGGGTCTCAGTGCTGGCTTTCTTGCAAAGGGATTCAAAAGCTGAGCCTAGCTTTGAACAGAAAAAGCAGAATTTGGTCCTAAATTTGCATATTAGCTTTACATGAGCCAGGTGCTGACATCTTCATCTTCTAGGAAGTATGTAATGTTTCATTGAATGTCCTTTCCCCCTAAAAAGTGGGTATGAGTGCTAAATTAGTGTGCTTCTTGAACTTCTTTTCTTCCCTAGAGTAAACCAACTAGAATACCATCAATGGTATTGATAAAAGTGTGGCATTTTTATACTGCTATGCTTCTGCTTTAACAGCAATTGCTTCGTGGATAGTACTTCCAGCCAACTGACTAAGGAACAACTGCTAAGCGTCCTTCAAGTACAATTTTCTAACTGGTCCCTTTTGCACTGCACAATTATGGCTTTAACTGACATGGGTTCCATTCTATAGAATCCATTGGTTTGCTGTTTTGGGAGAGGAACTCCAAAGTGTGACTGGCTGCTGATTGTTAGCATAACAATGAGTAAAAAGTGGAGTGAATCCATTAAAAGACCTTTGGGTAGCCAAACACCCCTCTAAATCTATATAAGGCAGCCCATGTACTAAGATCAGCAGGGGAGGGCTTTCTCTCAGTTCCATCACCTTTGCTGGCCCCTTCCCTGCTTTCTTTTTGCTGGCAGATGAAGCCATGTTAATTTAGGCAGGCTCTTGGTGGATGAATTTTATTTGTGTAGTGTGGTGTGCTGTCTTAACATTTTAATGGTTTTTACTGGTTTTAACTATGCTGTTTTTAATTTAGGTTTTAATTTAATTAATTATTTTTAATTTTTGTAATCAATATTTTAGTTCTATCTTTTTAAACTATTGTAAGCCACCCTGAATCCCATTTTGAGGGAAAGGCAGGACATAAATACCTCAAATTAATATAAATAAATAAATAAATAAATATGAAAGTCTTTTGACTGCCAGCAGAAGGAAAACAGTCTAGCGATAAAAACAAGTAATATTTAAACAGTGTTATCAAGTACTGTAACAACACTGAATTGCTTTCTGAACACTATAAGAAGTAATTGAACTAAATATCATTTCATGCTCTGTGTGACACTTGGCAGATCCTATTTGTTAATCCCAACTACAATTGACACACTGAATCAATTGTTGAATAGTGTGTCAACATATAGATAAATTCCATTAAGGGGCGAAACAGATAGAATAATAGAATCATAGAGTTGGAAGAGACCACAAGGATCATCCAG